ATAAGCGCGACGGACCGGACGGACAATGCGCTCTCGCGTCAAGATTTCCCGCGAAAAGGGAAAAAGTTTGTCCGGGCTGAGACGCTGCTGAGTGGGGGGTCCTTAGGTAAGTGTTCCTGTTTAGAACAACGCGAGCCGTCAAAGCAGCGGCGTCTGTCCGGTGTATTCAATAGCCGCGACAGTGCTTTGTTATCGCGTTTGTTTGCCCTTTTTTGTTTGTGTTGTTGTTTCGCCGTGTTCTTTCCCGCCCTCCCAGCGGCCCCAGCGACACAAGTCCCCAGCTCATTTCTCCTTCCTCGCGGCCCCAGAGTTGACAGCCGCGGGCTGCCTGGCTGCTCGGGCTGCCCGCCCGGCCCGGCCGCGCGGATCCGGGGGGCTGGGCTTCATTTTCGTCTGTCAAATGTTTATTCTCCTCGCGCCTCGGCGTGAAGTGCAATGTGTTGCTGGCGGGGACTGGCGTTGTCGTGTCCCGGGGCCCTTTTGTCTGGGGTGTGCCCTGTGACTGCTGCCCCGCCCCGCCCCGCCCCGCCCCGGCCTCATCTGTCGCTGCTGAGTGTGTCCAGGGCCCGGCCGGTTCGCTGGCGTTGGTGCAGCGTGGACAGCCCGGGGCACTGGGGCGCGCCGAGGTCCACAAGCACCTCTGGGACCTGCAGGCCTCTGCAGGCCTCCAGGCGCGCCTCCAGGCCTCCAGGCTGGCGAGCCTCTCCTCGTGTAGGAAGCAAAGAGAAGAGGCACGGCCTGGCGCGGCCGGGCGCGGCGGGATGGGGTGAAAATTGTCGCGACAGTAAAAGAGAGAAAAATGAAAAACGACGATGTTGTTTGTTTTCCCTGAGTGCGGGCCCCCTCCCCCACCCCCCAGCCCCTTCCAGACCGCAGCACCGCCAGCGATACATTTGCATCGGGCCGTACGTCGCGTCGGGACGGCAAAACAAAAACAAAGTACGCGAAAAAAGTGAAAATCGCGTTCCGTTACGCTTTTGGTCGTGCTCCGTCATTTGTACTTCGATATCGGCTTTGTGTTGGCGGCTGGGGCCGAGGGGTGGGGATTACCCGAACTGGGGGAGGGGGAGGGTTGAGGCGACGGCAGGGGAAGCGCAAATATTTCAGCGCGCGCGCTGCATTTAGCCGCAACGGCTCCGGTGACCATTAAGATAGGGGGCCGGCATATACCAGACTGCAAAAGGAAGGGCCGCTTGAAATGCGCATCGCTCTGGATTTAAACGACAGGCATCGCACTGTTTGTCGCCTTCCTGAAGTCTGCAAACCACATGGGTCACATTTCAACCAGCGTCGCTAAATGGGGCTCAAACCGAACGTGTGACCCCACCAATGGATTGCTTTCCGAACGAGGAATCCATTGGTGGGGTCACACGTTTGATTCTAGTCCTATTTAGCGACTCTGGAGCTCAAAACGCGTCTTCTGGCCCACAGTGTAGCGCCCGCAGAAGGCGGGGTAGGCAAACCCGCCGTTCAGGCGCGTGCTGCGGGAGTGCCTACCCCCGACTCCACAGGCGCTGAGTGCGGAGCGAAACCTGTCAGCGCCCGGTGGGCCAGGGTCCTCTCGCAGCCGAAGGCGTCGATTCGAATGGAAGGGAGAACAAGTGACGACCGCATAAAGGAGATCTGAAGAACGCCATCACATTTTGATGCCTTTATTCGGCGGTTGACGTTTCCGGCGAGCGAGCCCGTCAACTCCAAAGTCCCTTGCCTCTGCCGCGTCTGCCGCCGCCCCAGGCAGGCAGGCAGGCAGGCAGGCAGGCAGGCAGGCGGGCCCGGACCCACTCAAACTCGGTTCGGCATGTCCTCCGACTCGTCAGCTGTTTGACATCGGCCTCGCCGTCGCGGGCACGGCATGGCTGGGGCAGGCATGGCAGGGCACGGCCAGCACGGCCGAGGCACGGCACAGCAGTGCGTCAGCATCCCCTCACCGCGATGCCGCGAGGGGGTGGGGGAGTCAAGAGGCACTACACCGCCTTCTCGATTATTCATTTTGCCGTCCCCTCATCCGATTAACCCCCACCCCGCCCGCCGCCCCGCTTTTTCGCCGCTCTTCTCGGCGATCGCTTCCGCGCCGAAATAGTGGAGTAAAAGTTGGCCTTTTATGATCGGCCGGCCTCGCGAGATGGCCTCGTCAGAATAACGCCACCTTCCTGGCGAGACTTTGCGAACTGGAAAGCGGGTCAGAGTTAATTGCCTCTCACTCTCTCACTCGCCCGCCCTCCACTGCCAGTATTTATCGTCGTCGGGCCGAACCTCCGCCCGGAGCGGCTCAGGGTTCTCCGTCTCTCTCGCACTCGCGGGGCGTCCCGTGCGGGTGCGAGAGAGGCAGAGCGACGAAAACGACTCTCGGAATCAGTCTGCAGGGGCAGCGCCACAAAAGACTTTTCGGTCGTAACTTGACGCACGTGATGCCCGGGCTGGCCCCGCTGGCCCCGCTGGCCCTGGGGGAAGCCGCGAGCTCACGCCAACTACCCTAACAGGTAGTCTGGAGTTGGGTTCTCCCATCAGCTGGCGGCGGGGGCCGCGGCGGCAGTGGCGGAGGGGAGGGGAGGGGAGGGGAGGGGAGGGGCAGGAAGGTGACAGGAACGACCACCACCCGCCTCGCCTGCCTTTGGCGCGTAAAACGGGGACACGGTCTGTCCTTCCCAGTCCGCCTGGGCCTGGCCTGCGCCACCCCTTGCTGCACAGTGGGTTTGCCAGAAGACCGGCGCAGGCGGTCAAAATCCCGGACGCGTTTTGAGCTCCAGAGTCGCTGAATGGAACTCGAACTGGTCGAGTGACCCCACCATTGGATTGCTCTCCGAACGAGGAATCCGTTGGTGGGGTCACACGTGCGGTTCGAGTCCCAGTTAGCGTCTCTGGAGCCTAAATCGCGTCAAGAGTTTTCTAGCCGCCTGCGCCGGTCTTCTGGCCCACTGTGCACTGGTCCTGTAAATCTCAGTGCAGGAATCGGGTTGCTTCTGTTTCCACAGCAAACCAGCCGCTTGCCGGTAACTTCGCGGTCAGTCATCCATTTCAATTATTCACCGCATTCATCGAATTGTTCTCCCTCCGCACAGTGATGATCCGGCAAACATTTGCTCCGGCTTGCTCCTATTTTTGCGCGGCCGCGGCGTTTCCCCCCATTATCAGGGCCGGGCCGATGGCAGGAGCAACACAATGGAGAGGGCGCCCCGATGAAGTGGCGGCCGGTGGCGGCGCGGCAGCAACAGGGCGCCAGGGGGCCCAAGGGGACCGTCGGGGACCGTCGCCAAATGGGGAAGAGACCCGCCTCCACATTAAAAACGAAAATTATTTCTTTGCATGACATTTTGAATTTCGTTTTACAATTTTTTTAACTCTCAACAACAGGACACTGTGTCTGTGAACCACATTCTGTGGCCTGTTCTATGGTCGTGGCCCGCTTCGAGGCGTACTCTGTGCCCCAAGCTGTTGCCCAGCCTCTGTTGCGTACACTGTGGCCCACTCTGTGGCCCACTCTGTGGCCCACTCTGTGGCCCACTCCGTGGACGCAGCGTGGTGCGTCACGAGGGAGCCCCGCCGCGCCGCGCCACGCCGGCCAGACCCATGCCCAGCGAGAAATTCCTTGGGTGACTATTGATTGGACCACACTCTTCTCTTCTCTTCTCCCTCCCGGAGCTCAATGCATCCCCCCTCCACCCGCCCCTTTCTCTTGATCTGTCTCTCTCTCCAAACTCTCTTTCGCGCTGCTCTCCCTCCCTCCGCCACGAAGGGCGCGGGTGAGGCGGGCCCTAAGGAGGGAGAGAGAAAGACAAGGGGATGAGAAGGGAGACCACAACACGGCGCTCCAAGACTGGAGGACCACCCAGCAAAGGGACGAGGCGGACAAGTCGTCCGGCCCTTTTGGCCCTTCGGCCCTGTTACACCGTAAAAACGAAAGGCCCTTTGTTTTTCGAGGGGATTTTGGCAAATCCGAGGCGGTTCGAGCCAACAGGGCCCTCCGCCGATTCTAGGGAGGCGGCCGGCTGTGTTTTTTCCGAGGCGGGGGAACCTCCAGGGGATGGGGCGCTCTCAAGAAGGGGACCGTGGTAACCGTCGCACTGTTTTGCTTCATTTTTAATTACGTTTCAAGTTAGTAAAAACTACTGTAAAAATTAAAACATTTTTTGAAAAAAATTTATAAGACGTATAATTAACGGTGGCCTCAACGCAATTTCCTATTTGCCAGCGCCGGCCGCGGCCCCCTCCAACATGCTCCTGTTCCGGCTTCGGCGCGCGAACTGCAGACTGATTCCGAGAGTCGCTGACGTCGCTCTGTCTCTCTCGCACTCATGGGGCGTCCCGCAGAGGTGCGAGAGAGACAGAGCGACTCTCGGAATCAGAGTGCTGCGCGAACATCCATCATGTCCCACTTCAACTTCGCGCCGCCGGGGGGGGGGGGGGCAACGAGCACCACGAGGTCGTCGAGGACGTCGAGGACGTTGTGGCGGCGGGAAGCGCCAGCCGGGGGAGGAAGGGAGAGAGGGAAGGGGGTGCAGGCGACTCCTTGCCACTGGCTGCCTCGACTATTTGTTTCTAATTATAGGGCAAAGTTGGTTACCCAAGTCCCTGAATACGGAGCGACGCGTAGAGAATGGAGTTTTGCCCCAAGTCCCGCGCGGCCCGGCTTGGCAGGGCCTGGCCGGGCGGAACAGCCCCCCTCCTCAATACCTTCCCGCCGAGGGTAGGAATTAGTTGAGGGTGATTTACGCGGTGGGGCACCTCGCGCCCCCGTCTTCCGCCCGACATCTGTGCGGGTGGGAGTGAGACAGCGCGAGAGTGACGGCGTTCGGGACCAAGTTCGGGACTGCATCGGGTTCGCTCGGGTTCGCTCGGGTTCGCGAGGCCCCGACCCGACCCACCCCACCGCGCGCCGCGCAGGCCAGACTCGGTTGCCGGCTGCTTGATTGGAGCGAGCCGCTTCTGAAATAACTTGCCGCGAATAGTCATCCGGACGTGCCTGAAATAAAAGAGAGCGGGTGTTTGAACCCGCGACTCACCTTATCAAAGGCCAAAGGCCTGCTGCTACACCCTCTGCCCTGGTCGCCCGCGGACGCTTCCATGCTGTCCGAAGGCTCCGAGGCCGGAGGGGCGCGGGGGGAGGGGGGCTGACCCCCTGGGGAACCCCCTGGGGGGCTGGGGGGCGGGGGCAGGTCTAGCCGACCTCCATGGGGCTCTGGGCCCGCCCCATCACGCCAGTCAACGACTCATGCGCTCTGCAACAGAACAAACAAATCACACATCAGACAGGCATGCTCGCCCAAAGGAAACTACAGCACTCTTCGACACATCGCGCAGCGACTCAAACTTTCCCAGTCGGGTGAATCCTCTCCACCACGAAAATAGCGAAATGCATGCGACCGCTTCCCCCCCCCTCCCCCTTTCGGGGCTGCTCTCTCCCACGGGGTGCGAAAACACCGGAACGCCCCCTATCTTATCGGGCCGTTGTTGATAGAGGCGGTTCGGGAACCGCGTCAAAGGCGGGGCCGCGGGGCCGTGGCGGGGCTGAGGGGGCATCGGCTTTCCGCGCGCTCTTTTTGGGGCGGGGAGTCATAATGAAATGAAGCTAACGATCGCGGAGGAGCCTGTGACCCACTAACGCATTTTCTGAAACGTGCTTAAACGCGCCGAGGACGAACAAAACATTTTCGACTCACGTCTTTCGACAGTGTGTTTGAGTAGAGCGGACCCACGGCTTTTCAGGGTCCTTTCATTGCTCTGTCTCTGTCGCACTCGCGGGGTGCTCCGTGAGGGCGTGAGAGAGACAGAGCGACGAGCCAATCCAGAGCCAGCCGAGCGAGCGCCCCGATTCGTTTCATCCCGTTGAGAGACAAAAGACGGAATCAAAAGTAATCAGGGGGCGAGTGGCCAATCAGGGAGCGGACCGGTCCGGCGATCCGCAGATAGGTCTTTCTTGAGCCAGGCGGGATACAGCGTCTGTCTCTCTCGCACACTTCGCGCGCGACAGAGACAGCGACTTTTCGGAAAGGGCTTGCTCGGGGGCGTTTCCGCCGGGGCAAGGTGAGCAGTGGAGGCGAAGGCAATGGAGCGGCCTGAATTCCGACTGCACCCTGCTCGTTAGCAGAAACTAATAAATCGAGTTATGCGCTCTCTCTGTCTTGCTCTCTCTCTCTGGCGCGCGCCACCGCAGCCCCTCCCCCTCCTTCTCTCCCTTTCGCCTTCCTTCTTTCGCGGAAACGGAGACAGAGCCAGACGCCCGCCTGGCTGCCGGAGGATACCCGGACAAAATTAGATTCCCCGCCCGGCACCACACCCACACCGCCCCGCCCCGCCCCGCCCCGCCCCGCCCCGCCCCGCCCTGCATCGGGCACCACCGGTCTGCGGGCCGAGCCAGGCCGAGCCAGTTAGACAGCGCACTGCTGCACGGCACGGAGGCTGCAGCTGCAGCTCAGCTGTTCCCCGTCCGACGAGGAGAAGACGGGGGAGAGGGTGGGGCAGGGGGCAAGGGGGGATAGCTGCGGCACTGGCAGGCACTGCTCGGCGGACCGCTCGGGCACGGCCAGGGAAACTTCGCCTCGCCGAGCAACGCGCCACCACGCCGCCACTTCCCGAACACTGGGCAATGGCTGCAAGCTTGTTACGCGACGACTTAGCCCCCTCCCCTTCTCTCCCTCTCTCTCTCCCTCCCTCCTCCTCCCCCTTGCCTCCCCAACCCCTTCTCATTTGCCAAGTTTCACTGAGTATCCCCTCCAAAGTGCAGCGGGCTTGTGAGGCCGGCTCTCGTGTTATTGTTGCAGTCTGCTGCAAAGCACTGCAAAGCACTGCAAAGGAGGCAGTTAGGTCCAGAGGCTGCCAGAGGCCCAACTCGGCGGCTCTAGTGCCGGCGCCTGAAAGGTAGGCAAACACAGATCCGCTACACCGCCCCTCCCCCTGCCTGTCCTCGCCGTCCTCGCCCGCAGTTCGGTCCTGGCGGGCGCTGCATTCACGTGGCGCCGAACACAGCGGACTATCTTCGTCGCTCTGTCTCTCTCGCACTCATGGAGTGTCCCGTGTAGGTGCGAGTGAGACAGAGCGACGAAAAGGACTCAGTCTGCGGGGGACGCGCGGGGCGGAGGAAGATGACGACCTAAGACTTGTCTCCCCCAGCTGCCACTCTGAAGAAGACGATTAAGCTGTTTTGGTGGTGAGACTCTGAACAGTTCCTCTGTGTTGTGTTTGGCGGGGGGCAAGAAGAGGGGATCCGCCGACCTCAAACTAACTCTCGGTGATCCCCTGGCGGACTGACGAGCTGACAGTAGAGGCAGACGGACAGACGAGCTGACAGAAGGGACAGACGAGCTGACAAGGGACAGACGGACCGACGAACGACGGACGGACTGGACGGACAAACGGACGGACGGCGGACCGACAGACAGGCGCTGACATGGCGTTGGCTGGCGGCCAAGAAAGTCGGGGGAGTGGAGAGAGAGGCTGGCGGGCTGGGCTGGCCTGTGGCCTGCAGGCCGCCCGGCGGCCCTCTGGACACCTCGTGTGGCAAACAGGGTCGCTTTGGAGGCGTCAGCGCGTCAGCAGTTTCTCATCGTTTGCTTTGCCGCGCTCGCACTGCGTCTCTTTCCATCTACCCGGCCACTTTTTCTAATCACACCACTGGAAGCCCTCCACTCGAGCAGCCAATCCTACGACCGCGAGGGGCGGATCCAGAGACCGATTCGGGGGGGGGGGGCGATGCAGCAAAAGTTGCCCTCTTACACGGGCAAAGTTCGACTTTTTGCCTACCTTCCGGGCGGCCTTTGCCGCCTTCATAAAAGAGGGGGGTGTGGGGAGGGGAGGGGTGCTCTTCCTCCCCTGGATCCACGCCTGGCGGGGAAGAACGCGGAGGAGTCCTTAGACCACACGTTGCCGCCATCTCAAATGGGAATGTTAGTTTAGCCAGACCACGCTAGGGAGAGAGGGATGCGGTCGGAAAAAAAGATAGAGAGAGTCTAAAAACAGCCCACGGGTATTCTGGACAGTCCCCGAGGATGCACACACATAGTCATACCCACGCACACACACGCTCGCATGCAGCACACACACACACACACACGGTGAGGCGGCAACAATACATTTAGCGGGGAACGCAAGTTGTTTCTGACAGCGAGATTATTCATGATCCAGCCAGCCTACGTCTGCCCATGTACTCGAAAAGGGGGAGTGTGGGTGGAGCCAGCCAGGGCCACCAGGACCAGGGAGGGCCGCCAGCCAGGGCGAGCCGAGCACTGCGAGTGGTATTGTCGCCGTGGACATCGCGCAGGCAACGCCTGGCAGCGCGGAGAGCCACGCAGTGCCACGCAGTGCCACGCAGTGCCACGCAGTGCCACGCAGTGCCACGCAGTGCACGCGGCCAGCCAGGACATGGCAATAAACCTTCAGGCGACCCTTTGTCTGTCTGTCTGTCTGTCGGGCTGGGTGGCTGCGGCTGGCCGCCTGTGTCTCTGCTTCTCCCGTTTCAGCGCGCCATAAGAGGACTTCGCCAAAGAAAAGACGTAAAAGACGGGAAGGGAGAAAAGGATGCGAGGACAAGTGAAGGCAGGCTTCGAGCCATGTTATTTTTGCATATGGTGTAAGTCAGTCGCCCTGGCGGCGCTGGCAGGCGGGCCGCAGCGGAAATGAAAGACAAACAACTCGGCAGACCTTTCCGAGGGCCTTCCGAGGGCCTTTCCCTGCCCGATGACCCCGAGAGGGATCTCTCTCCCTCTCTCTCTCTCTCTCTCTCTCTCTCTCTCTCTCTCTCTCTCTCTCTCTCTCTCTCTCTCTCTCTCTCTCTCTCCCTCTCTCCCTCTCTCAAAGGCCGCCGCGACCTGGCTCCGTTCCGCCCTCTCATTTCGTCCGAATTAATCAGCGCGCACAAAGACAGCGCCGAGGCGGCCAAGACTGCCGAATCGTGTCTCCATCAATCACGAAAAAGGCAGTGCCGTATTTCCCCGTCGATTAGCGTGGCGTGGCCCTGGAGTCACTGGAGCCCCTGGAGCCCCTGGAGCCCCTGGAGTCCTCGCAAGGGACCAACCTGGAGCGCCCGAAGGAAGGCGGGAGCACCCTGCTGGACCCAAAAGCCTGCCCTAGACTCCGACGAAGTCCCGGCCCATAGGCCCCGATACGACCCCGACCCGGCCCCGACCCGGCCCCGACCCGGCCCCGACCCGGCCGAGACCTGGCCCAGACCCGGCAAAGACCCGGCCCAGACCCGGCCGAGGGGCCGGGCCGGCCGACACCCGGTCGCCCTATAGGGACCCGGCAAAGCCTTGGCCAAGCCCCGGCAGAGTCCACCCGAGTCCGGCCAAGCCCGGCCACGGTGTAAGAGTGCGCCACCCGAAGAGTGGTCTCCCTACACCGTGAGTCCGGACTGTGGCGGGTTTCACCGGACTTACGGTGTAGGGAGACCACTCTTCGGGTGGCGCACTCTTACACCGTGGCCGGGCTTGGCCGGACTCGGGTGGACTCTGCCGGGGCTTGGCCAAGGCTTTGCCGGGTCCCTATAGGGCGACCGGGTGTCGGCCGGCCCGGCCCCTCGGCCGGGTCTGGGCCGGGTCTTTGCCGGGTCTGGGCCGGGTCTCGGCCGGGTCGGGGCCGGGTCTCGGCCGGGTCGGGGCCGGGTCGGGGCCGGGTCGGGGCCGGGTCGGGGCCGGGTCGGGGTCGTATCGGGGCCTATGGGCCGGGACTTCGTCGGAGTCTAGGGTGTCTCTAAAGACCCTGTCTCTGCATTGACTGCTGCTGCAGAGCACACTGCAAGGCTGGCCAAAGTCGCCGGGCCGAGGTCCCTTATGTAGCCATTGCGGCATGCACCGGGCCCCTGGTGGCCCCGGGCAGGGAGGGGAAGGGGAGGGGTCATTTACATATAAACTCGAGAAGAAACACAAACAAAAGGTGGTGTGTGCGTAGGTTGGCCGCAGCGGGGAGGACCGCGCCACGGCCCAGGCGAGGCCCTATGACCCTATGACCTTCGCACCTGCACCTCAGACCTCACACGCCGCGACCTCCGACCCTTCCTTCCCTTCCTGCGCACCTGCACCTCAGACCTCACACAGCCTCAGACTGCGTGCTTCCGACCCTTCGGCGCCACGACGATCGCGCCTGCAGCAAGACCCCTCGGCCCATCGTCAGCCTCCGACCCTCCGCCGGCGGGCTGCCTCCGACCCCACCAGCCCCCTCCGCCCTGGCCTGCCTGGACTGCCCGACGGACGGCCTGGCGACGCATACCGCGAATGTCTCGCCTGCCGCCGGACTCCGAAGGGCGCTCTCTGTCTCTCTCGCACTCATGGGGCGTTCCGCATGTGTGCGAGAGAGACAGAGCGACGAGATGAGCCCTCGGAACGAGGCGGCAGCCGCCCACCCCACACCGCGCACCCAGCCTCATGGTCCGCCCCCGCAAATGCCGCCACGCCGCCCCCGGCCGCGCCGAGCAGTCTCAAATGCCACGCGGGGGGCGGGGGCGGGGCGGGGGCGGCTGGAAGAGACCGCCGCTATCTGCCAAGGGGGAGCAGCGGCAGCAGCGAGCGGCACGACAAGGCAGCTCTGCGCTCTGCAGAGGACTTGTTCGCCAATTCATAGTGGAGCGGCGTGCTGGGACTAGACAGAGCAGCGCGCCGCCGTGCCGGGGCACCGAGGGCCCCGCCAGGGCCCCGGGGCCGGGCACGGAGTCAAGCGCCAAGCGTCGTCGGGGACCCCCGTGACCCCTGTGTTTACATCCCGTCCAGCGCGGCTCGGCTCGGCACGGCATGGCGTGACATCAACAGCCTGCACAACGGCCTGCGCCGCCACCGCCACCCCTGGGCCGCCCCGCCCCGCCCCGCCCCGCCGCGCCGCGCTGCACGGAAGGCCGCCGCCCCGCCCCGCCGCGCCACTTCCGTCGCCGCGAGTGCCGCCGAGTGGAGGTGCTGAAATCTTTTACGCCACCGGAAAATCACTCGAGAAACTCGGCAGCGAAAAGAGGGACGCGCGGCGGGCACGCGAAGCAGGCGAAGCAGTGCGCGGGGCTGGCGGGGCTTTAGCGCGGCGGGGGCTCATTTCGGCCTGTGCTTTCGTCGCTCGGTCCCTCTCGCTCCGGTGGGGCGTCGCGTTGGAGTGCGAGAGGGACAGACGGCGAAGCAGCGTTCGGAATGGGACCGAGCCCGTCGTTATGACGCACTGCCTCGCTGAAGACTGCGACCGAGAGCCGTTCCCTCGTAAAAACGTTAAATTAAATTTTATAAAATTTTTGTTAAAGTTTTGTTAAGAGTAATCAACTTTTAATTAAATCGTCTACTTTAATTAAACTTCTTTTGTTAAATTGCTGTGTTTAACAAAAATTTATTAGTTGGATTTATTAAAAAAATGATCTAACAAAATTTAATTTGAACCTCACATTAATGTTTGTTAAAAATATTTCTTTATTAAACTCGTTTGTAATTAACTTTAACAACATTGGACGGTCTTGTTAAGTTTAGTTCGGTGTTTAATTTGAGTTTGTTACGGATGTTCCTAAATTAAAGACTTCTTTGATTAAAGTGAACACTTGCCCTGGATTAAGTTAACGGATTATGTTACGATCTAATTTAATCATGTCAATAAGTTTAGAGGCTTGTCTTCGTGAACAGCGTGAATTCAACGGGACAAAAGCGAGGAAAGGGACTAGCTTCCATTAGTTGAGCATCAACATCAAGCACGCGCTTTTCAAGGCAATTAACACGATTATGTTAAGTCAGTCCTATGAATGCAAGATTTAATTAAATTTAATAAAAACTTGTATGCCGCTAGATGGCGCTGCCGTCTACTTCAATCCCTTAGCTCGCGGAGATCACTAGCATAGCCGCTAGCATAAGGTGCGCAGGCGGATCCTTCTGAACCAGTCGCGCTCAGGGGAGTCCGATCTCCTAATTTTTGACTTGGTTCCTCTAGGCAGGTGTCTAGGGGGATCTGACCCGGCCTGAGGGTCTCTGTCGAACATCCATCCGAAATTATCGAACCAGTTCAAACGTTGCCCGATTTTAATCAAAACTTCTTTAATTAAATTACTTTAACTTTAACAAGGGATTTTATTAAAAGATTTTAATTAAAACCGAAAAATTGAATTAAAACTTGTTAATTTTAACAATATTTAACTAGTTTTTGTTAACGGAAAGAGCCTATGACGTGCTACCTGGATGCATTATTGGTAGCTGCTTCACCAATCTGGCCTTATTAACGGGCCCTTAACAAAAGTTAATAAGAAACTTCATTAAAGTTAATTAAATTTTATAAAACTGGTATTTGTTAAATATTAATGAAAACTTAATAAAGTTTTAATATAACATTTATTAAATTTAATTAAGGCCATTTTACGAGGGTTTTCGTCGCTCTGTCCCTCTCGCGCTGACGGGGCGTCCCGTAAGGGTGCGAGAGGGACAGCGCGACGAAAAGGACTCTCGGAATCAGTGGGTTGGGCGCGGCGTCTCGCTGTTGAAGAAGTATGGCACCTTGTCTCTCGGGCGACAAGGCGACCTTGCGCTCGAAGCGCTCCCAAACGAGCGCCCGGCCCGGCGGGGCCCGACCCGCCCGACCGACCAAGCGGTGCTCGCTCGGGCGCTCGCAAGACAAGAAGAGTTGTTGTCAAGGTCACGCCGCGCTGCCACGCTCCCTCTCCCTCTGGCCCGGCTCCTGGCTCCTGGCTGCGCGCCCTCCGAACTCCGAACGCACGCCCTCACAACTCCTCCTGAACAGCGGACTGCGACGGCGGGCGTGCCTAGGGCGTGCCGCGCCCGTGAATGGGAACATGGCGCTCCATTGACTATTAGGCGGGGCAGGCTAGACGTGTGCGCCGACCCTTATTTGATCGGCGGCGGCGCTTGGCCAATTTAAGGCCGGCGGCGGCGGCGTAATCGGCGTATTCGGCGTGAAAGAAATTTTGATTTTACCAACAATAGGGTCTCAAAATTTTGTCAATCACATGTTAAAAATGATAGAAGTGCTCAAGTAGAGGAAGTTATTAACAAATATATACGTTAAATACGTAAAAGACCATTTACTTTCTTGGTGTTAGTTTTTCGGCATCTTAATGAACTACGTCGCCAAAGCGGAGAGAGGGGAGGGGAAGGTAAGGCGAATACAGGGTGGCTCATTTTTGCCAGAAAAACGCGTTTAGCTCAAGGAAACTTCAGGTTTTCGAGGTATTTTGTGATCTAAGACCTTCAGCACCAAAAGTTTCATTCGCGCCGATTACGCCGACCGTATGGACCGGCGGCGGCGGCGCGGCTGCCTTCGACGGCGGCGGCGTCGTGACCGGTCAGCGCACATCTCTAGGCAGGACTCCGGGAGAGAGAGAGAGGGGAGAGAGAGAGAGAGAGAGAGAGAAGGGGGAAGGGGGGTACACGAGGGAGGGGCGCGGCGCGGCCGCAGTCCCTGGCGGCGGCTCGCTGGCGGGCTGGCGGCTGGCGGGTCGCCGTGCAGGTTAGGCAGTCCCGCCACGCACGCACGTCCGCCGGGATGGCATCTGACAGGCGCTAGGCCCGCTAGGCTGCCTTGGCTTGCCGTTGCCGGGCCGCGCGGGCCGCGCCGGGCCCACCCCTTGACGGCCAGGGACATCCCGACCTTGCCGCTACTGCCGCCGCTGGCCGCCCGGCGCCGCGTAATCTCTGGAGCCCGTCGCCGAGGCCCTCTCCGTCAACGAGGCTCGTACCGCGGCCGTCAACTGTAACACGCGGCCGCCCGGGGCCGGCCAGGGCCCAGGGCCCCGGCTGGCAGGTTCGACAGGCCTTTCCAATAGGCTGGCTTTCGCATAATGAACGACGCAGGAAAACCACTGCGGAACCAAAAGCCGCCGACAGATGAGAGCCAGCTCTACCTAAACAAGAATGTTCGCTGTGCATTCTTTCCTTCTGTCGTTTATTAAGTGCTTCCGCGCAGACGCCGGCCTTTGGCTTGCCTTTGGTTTGCCTTCGCCATGCCTTTGGGCTGTCACGGCGTCACACGATACCGCAAGACGACAAGCACGGCTGTAATAATGCTTCATGTCATCCCGACTCCGACCCTTGCCAATCTAGCCTTTGACTCTTGTCTTCTGTTTGGCCGTCTCCAGCCCAGGGGGGGAGAGAGAAAGACCTCGAGGAAGACGATGAGAGAGACGAGAAGGAGAAGGGGGAGACAGGCGAGGCCGTGCAGGAGGCTTCTGGCGCGCAAACAACAAACAAGTTGGCCGACATGCTACGCCCCCCCGCGCCGCCCCGCGCCCCTCCGCGCTCCCGGTCTCCGTGTTCTGCTCCTCCTGCTCCTTGTTCGGACACTTCCCTGCCCGGTGTGGTGGTCACCGGGCTGCCGCCACTGCCGGCCCGGCCGTGCACACGCCGGGCCGCGGCGTCGGCAACGGCGCGGCCTCGGTGACCACCACGCCGGGGCCGCCGAGACCCGCCCATCGCACGCGCCGAGCACCCGATGCACTCGCCGGGGCGGCGGGGCGGCGGGGGCGTGGACGGCCATTTTGAAGTTGATTTGTCGGACGCGGCGAACGGGGCACGGTGGGCACAGTGGCGGCCCGGTGCGGCTACTTACCCTGGGAGTGAGCCACGTCTTGCTGCATCCGAGGCGGGTGCCTGTCCCGGCCGTCCCGGCGCTGCGCATGGGGCGTCGCAGGCGTCGCAGGCGTCGCAGGCGGCGGACGCATGGGTATGGCAGCAGCAGCAGGCACCACTGCTTCCAGCACTGCTTCTAGCAGCCCCAGAACGCCGCGCTGCGCCTGCTGCTGCAACTGCTGCGTCGGCTGCAGTTGCACATGGTCGCGTTTGGGTTTTGGGCCAAGGCTGCCCCAGCCAGCAGCCCGGCGAAGCCCGGCGTGGCCCGGCGTGGCGTGGCGTTGCCGCCCAGACCGCTGAGCTCGACTGAGGCACGGCGCGGCGAGGCGAGGCGGCGAGGTGCGGCCACCAGGCCCTACCCGACTCCGTCCCCACCAAGGTGGCCCCCACCAAGGTGGCCCCCACCCTGCCCATCCCTCTCGATATTGATCCACCCCCACGCCCCCGCTACCCCGCGCGGCCGGGCAGGGCGGGCAGGGCGGGGCGCCCCAAGCGGAGCGCCCTCCTACACTGCGCCTCGCCCACCCCAACCCCTCTCTCTCCCTCTCGCTCGCACTGCCCAGCACTGCGCGCCGCTCAGGCGTGGAGCCCTGGCGGAGCGACAGAGAGGGGCGAGAGTCCTTCGCTGGCAGGCTGAGGCTGGCCGCCGAGGACGCAGAGCCCCCTAGCGGCCAATCACGCCATCACCAAGCTCTGCTCTGCTCAGCTCGGACCGATTTCCCCCTCTGTCTGCGCCACGAGTTTCTCTCTCTCTCTCTCTCCCACTGGAGCTTGCGGTGGCGCCCGCGGCAGGCTGCTTGCGCAAGGCTGAACAAGGACTGACGCAGCTTTCGGACGCAGGCAGAGTCTCGGGAAGGGTCCAACTGGACCTCGACGGAGCAAGCCGACCAAAGATTTCGCAGATTTCGTGAGGGGTTCGCCTGTGCCCGCCTCTGGCCCCACCCCAGGCCGGGTCTCACTCCTTGCTACGCTTGGTACCACTCTGTAGTGCTTGGCTTCATTCCAGCTTCTCTCAAAAGCGACAAAACCGAACTAGGCGAAATAAAGTGATCAGCCAGTAGAGACTACAGACCTGTTTTTAAGATGGACCTATAATGATTTCTTGAATAGCAGTACGCACTTGCACCCATTTAATTTTTGCAAAGGTTGGTAGTGACTGTGGGGAATAACTACGTACTCTGAACTGTCACTGACGTGTTTCTGCAATTTCATGTAATTCATTTGATTTTTACCGAGCCTTGGATAATTTAAAACGCTAAAGAAAGTGAAACCATGAAATTATTTGCCAAATGTATTTAAAAATACTTAAAATCCAAAACAATTTTCTTTTAAAAAAACGGACAAAATCCACAAGAAACATTATTACATGATTACAACATTACAACATTACAACATTACAGCGTTACAACATAACAACATTACAAAATTACAACGTTACGACATTACAACATTACAACGTTACATTACACAAGAAACATTACTATTGTTTTAAAAACGTTCTCCGCTGGCAAATGCCTTCATGTTTTTCAATTCTCTCCTGATGAAATTTGCGCTCACATTTTGTGCACTGGACCAATTGTTGCTCAAATAATTTCCATTCGCCTTCAGTGAGTTCTTCAGCATTTGCCATTGATAAGCCATTCTATAATAAAGAGAAAATGCGTGAGTGTTTACAAACTAGGGCGAACTGCAGCAAAACTTTTCATAAACTCACCATTTCTGCGAGCAATGCTGTCATCTCATCAAAGTCTCCTTTCCTCTTTTCCATGATCGCTGCAAGTCTTTTGGGCATGACTCTGAAGTGAGATATTGATTCCAGCAGTTCTCTCTCACTGTCAACTGACTTCCAAAGATCCGCCCAAGCCAGAGCCTTCGCAGCTGCACCAGCCTCTTCATTTTGCAATGCATCTTCAGCACCAGCCTCTTCACTTTGCGATGCATCTTCAGCACCAGCCTCTTCACTTTGCGATGCATCTTCAGCACCAGCCTCTTCACTTTGCGATGCATCTTCAGCCTGTTCAAAGTTAAGTTAAATTTTATAAAAACCCATAAGAATGGATCAGTCAGTTAATTTCACTACAGCCTTCTCACTCACCTCTGGTCGGTTTTGGCAACGGTCCTCCGAACATCCACATTCCTCAGAGCAGAAGGTGCTAGTTTTCCTGCACTTACACTGCTTTGTACTGCAGAGTGTTTTTTTGCAGTTGCACATAATTTCGATTTTAGCTGGGTTGACTTGGGTTGACTTCTGAACACTTCTGAAAGCTTGGACTAGAATGAGGAACCATGTGGTCTTTGCAAATAAACAAGTGCATTCAGTTCTTCCAGATTTCTTCTTCTCACTTCCTGTTGTGCTGATGAAAAATTAATAAGTAATTAAAAAAAGAAGAAAAAAGAAAAAAAGGAATGGTGCCTATGCAATACCAGAGGTATTTTGAAGACTATTTTGAATTATTTTCATTATTACTACAGCACTAATATTTAATTCATGCAGACAAATTGCCAACATAATCCTTCATCCATTTTCTTTGCTGACTATATTAAGCATTAACCCCTAGCCCCCAACACAATTCCTTCAAGATCTCAAAATTAACCCAGCATCAGCGTTGTGATTGGCTTATGATTACTGTACTGCGAGTCTATTTCCCCACCCAAAAACTGTTCCACACAGAGTTTTTGATGCAATTTGAGGTGCAGCTTCCTCATGAGGACACAAGAAATGTGTGTACAGTATACCAGTATGTATGTTGGAGATGGTGAAATAAAAATACTATTTCTTTGGCAGTACGTATTAGGTACTTCATTTTATTAAGATGTTTTTAATTATGATGTTTTTTATCAACAGCTCTTTCTTTGAGATTGAATTCTGGGTCCGAGGCATCCCAGCAAATTACATCACAATCACATACCATGTCACACATTCATCTACACAAACAAAATCAATCAATGGCAAAAACAATTTTCATTATGCGGTAACAAAAAGACAAAAGTCATTGGCATTCTGAAAGGAGAAATAATTACAATAGCTAAATTGTATTTAACCACCAACTCAATTTCAATGAACTAACATTTGCTCTTCCCTAAATAAAGCCAACCGTTTTTATCACATATGAGCACAGATAATTACAGCATCTCCCAAATGTAAACCACACAACAAGTGAACTTACACAACAAAGTCTTTAATTATGAGCTGAAGTACACCTACAGATATGATTGGTTTCAGCAACAAATTGCATTGATGCAAAATGAACACATCAAAATTCACTGCAAAGAAATGTCTTAAAAACTTTCAATGCCTAGCAGCAATTTGTGTTGATTATATCATTCTTCAAATAACTAATTAGGATAAAACAAAAGAAAAATTAACACAAGACCAAAATCTCAGAGTAAAATTTGAGAGATTAATATGTTAAAGTCAACAACAGTTTTCATTTTTTTCTTCTCTTCTAAAATTTTTTGACACTAAATTTTATTTATTGATAAGCTAATGTAAGGCCCCTAAAGCATGACAGTAAAATAATTAAGTTCACCACCAGAAATAACAAAGCAAAAAAGACATGGACATGTGAAAGCTGCCATAGTAAGGCAGCTTGTTCTATTTTCCTGAACAAGCCATAGATGTAGAAAAAAGCACTTTGGGTTTCTGCTTTTTCTTCTTTTTTCCACCTCCTCCTCCGCCTCCCCCAGAAGAAGCCTCACAAGAGGACTTCTCAGACTTAGCAAGAGCTACAGCTATTGCATCACTGAAACTTTGGCTGAATGTTGGAGCTGGAACATAGCCTTCCGGTTCTGGCTCACTGTCTGAGGCTGTGCGCTGTCGGCTGCTGGTTACATTAAGCAAAGAATGCGCCAGAGGTTGCGACGCTTGGCGTCGACCCCATGCTGGTCCGCTGGAAAATGAGGTCTTCCCAGTGCGTAGCATCTGAAAACAGGACATTATTCAATTGCATTATGTGGTTACGATGGAAAGCAAAAAAGGAATACAAACAATACATTGACAAACCTGGGCAAATGATGGTCCATCTTCAGCAGATGAGGATGCTTCCTGCCCAATCATGGGAAAGTGCTCTCTTTCTTCAGGTGGAGGATCTAAAGTCAAGTTCTCAACAGAAAGGCTCAGAGATGATTGAGTAGAATTACTTGCCAGACTTGAAACAGATGGGGATTTTGGAACAGATGCCCTGTAAAGCCAAACAATTAAACAAGGTAAGAATGGGTGGACAAGGACAGTAGTGAATCAAACTTAACAGATTGTCACTTACACAGGGGGAGAAGATTCATTTCCACAGATAGGGAAGTGGTGGTGAGAAGCAATCCGAATATGAGGTGTTGGGTATCTACCCAGGCGTTTGTTCTCTTCGTCATTAATCTTCTTCTCACGTCGCATCTCTTCTCGTGCTCTTTTCTGTCGTCGCCTTCGACGGGAATCAATCTGCTCTTGGAAGATCTCAAGTATATCAGGCGGAATGATAGAGCAGTCGAGAGACAACTCCACAACTTCAAACTGGCAAGTGACAGGAAGGTGTTGCATGTAACGAAGACGCTTCCTCAAATCCTCCGTCATTGATCCCATTTCCTTTTCTACAATACGCCCAGATATCGTAAGGGGGCACTTGTCAAGAGATCCATAGGCCATCTCCAGCATACGAGCATTGATAGCATGTAGATAGATGTGCTGTCCATCCGCAGCTAAAACATAAGCATGTTTTTAAAACAAAGACCTAAAATTAAGATAGGCAAAGGACTTTATTTTCCATCTTTGTTCCAAACATACCCTGATAAAAGTAGAAGTGCTTCTGAGGCTGTTGCAGACTACTATGTTCAAGATCTTCAGCTGTTATAGTAGTTCCATTGTCCTCACTACCTGTGCTTTCCAGACGAGGTCTGCAAATATCAGAATCACTATTAACCAAAGTTCTTAATTCAGGATATTTGACCTTTAGAAGAGAGGTAACAAACCTAACAGACTTGGAGTCCAAGCCATCCTTTAGACCACTGCAACTATCGTGTAGCTCAGAATTGGTGGTGTCATCAGCGCCTCCAGTTTCTGCATCCGGCAAATGGTCCTTTGGAGTATCATGCTTTTGTTCCTCTGTGTCTACAGGGGCGGCAGCAGGCTGCACTCCTTTCACACCCTGACAGGCAGCAATAACAGCAAAATTGAGGAATCATTTCTATCAAAGATATGGACACTCCAGCTGTTGAATTTGACGCACCTTGACCAAAGCTTCTCGCTCAAGCAACATCTCCATAGCTTGTTCTACAAAGCACACTTCTGGGCTGTCATTGTCAATACGTATCTGCTCCTTGAGAGCAGTTTTTTCATCTTCCATTATTTTCAGCACCTAATAACAAGATAGAGGAGTTAGTACACCAAACAATGGTGAAAACCAGCACAAATATTAAGTGTCACAAAGAAACACCTACATCAAATGAATCAGCCAAGAGCAGTTTGGCATAGACAGTGTCAACAGCTGTTTCAGACACAGACAACAAAGAAACAGGCGGGCGCATGTCCCACTGTTCAACAGGGACAGCTTCTAAAGACCCTCTTTCTCGACGCATCAGGCGTAGTGTAATTTCACCACCAACAGTAAAGGATGTAGGTTTCAAAGCCTGAACACTGAAGGAAAGTAAAAAAGAACAAATGAGAATATCACTGATTCAGGTACAGTTGTAGATCATTACTCTTAAGGCAGTTGATGTTTACCTCTTCAAATCCCGTTTATGCACAGATTCATAACAGATAGGACATTTACGCCAGGTTTTGTCAGAGAGAGCCAAATAGTGCAAAATGCAGGACCAGCAAAATATGTGACCACAACGAGTCATTTTACCTGCAACTGGTGGGTACAGACAAATAGGACAACTGGTCTCTTCAGGGCTCATTACTCGCTAGAAACAGGCAAAAGTTCAAATTATTAGGGAAAAAAGCAAAACAAAAAGAAACTAAAAAATGAATACTATCACATACAATTTGTTCCACAAGGTCCCAATCAACAAGCTGATCTGGATTACAAAGGTATTGGCGGTAATCTCCATCTGCCTTCACTGCAAATTGACAACTGTGGACATAAGAAACAGTTAGCATTGAATGAAGCAGTAATGTCAGCTATCTTGAACGAACTAGAAGAAAGTTGTAACATACTTGGCCTGCAAGAACTGCTCCTTGTTGTACTTGTGAGGAGTGCCTCGAAAGAAACGTGCTAAGCCCGAACCATGACCACTGCTTTGATGGCGCCAGTGTTGGTGGCTGCTACCCTCCCTTGGCGCATAATGAAAGTTTAATAGGTGGTTTAAATTCTGCTTCTTGCTTCCTTGAGATATGACGGAGCCATACTCAGCATCCTCCAATGCTACCTGAAAGGTTAGAGAGGCAAGTTTAAGATTTTCCCCTCGGAAGGCAAAGGAACGAAATGGCAGACAAAGCCTCTCATACCTGGGGACCCTCCTTTCGACCCTCCATAAAAGGGCCACGAGGTCGAGGTCTCTTGTCAAAAGCTTTTCCTTTCTGTGTTGTTGGTTTCCGAACCGGGTCATATTTGGGAGCACTCGCTCCTGGTGTCTCCCTTCTTCTGGAAGAGCGGGGGAAAGTCTTTCCTCCAGCTCCATCTGCAAATAAAAAGAATTAAAGCCTATACGTACAAAAACAAAACAAGCATAAGATCTCAATTTTCTTTGTTCAAGTAATAAAGGAAAGATGGGAGCAATAATATCTAACTAACAGCTAATTGAGATGGGTCTGTGGGTGCACCAGTATTAACATAAACACAACTGTTGAGACAAACTCCACTTGTATCAACAGCTCATTGAAATCAATGATGACACAACAGTGGGTGGTGGACCCTGGGTCGGTACAGTTTGGGGAAAAGGTGGGGGGAGGGGAGGGGCAGCAACAGCAGAAGATGTCTCAGAAATGTGGCAAAGAACTTGAGTCAGAACAAAAAATTAGAAGACACGTTACAAAAAATTTGCACAAAGTTACGCCACAAATAGTTTCAGATACTGCGGGAAACGGAAAGAATTGAGCAGAGCGGAAAATTGTTGCGTGACGTCGCAATGATTGCACTAAAAGGGTCACAGTCACCTTTGCGGCCAATGTTGCACAACAATCACAAAAGGACATTGACCATCCACTCCACAATTTAAAAAGAGATTGAAAGCAGAATACTGATGTCATAAGAACTGATTAAAAAGTTGCTAGAAAACTTGAGGAAATAAATACGAGGTGGCAGAGGCACGCATTGAAGGTTGGGTGCCAACCAGTTGTTTACCTTGGCCTTTTTTTGTGTCAGTTCCCGGCCCCTTGCCAAGGGGCTGAACTGAACGTACAGGTTTCTTTTCCATTATAATTTCTTCTAACATCTACAGCAAACACGGGGGAGAACACCTCTCCGCATGGAGAAACGGTACTCGACTTCACAGACGACATTTTTAGCAAGCCATGTTTCAATCTTCACGGGGAAATAAAGGAATACCTTCAGGCGGTATTACTTAACACTTGGATAAATAGCGTTGGTGGATTAACCAAAAATGAGCCTCAAGGAGCGAGGAGCCCCTTCCCGCCGTCAAACGACGATTTTCTTGTTGACGACAAACACTTCTGTCTCTTAAGTGTCTCGTCGCGAAAATGGCGACGGGTAGACAGACGGAGGAAAAACAGGAAACAGTCGGTCAGAGAGGCATGACCGGAAACGCAATCTGGCGAGCTGGCACTCGTCAAAAAAACGCGGCTACGTCCTGTTCGTCGGTGTTAGCGAGAAGAATCCTTGGACATACGTGGATTGGTTTTTATCGAGCGGCATGCAGACTACCGCAGGTGAGTCGTACAGCCAGATAACCTCAAAGGAAGTTTAAGGAGCCCCGCGTGCCATTTGCCGGGCTGGCCAACCTCGGCAGCAGCCCACAAGCTGGTTCAGCCCGGCGCGACCACGAGTGATAGCGTGCCCTATCCCTCGCTTTCTTGCTTCGTACTTCAGAAGAGCGACGGAGACAGAAAAACGGCAATCAGGGCGGTATCAGCGTCCTGCGGCACCAGACGCATTCGCCGGCAGGTTTGAGACTTTTTCCGCGCCAACACGTGGCGACTATGAATACATGGACACCACTCGACGTCCATAAAGTGTAGAGATTCAAGTTCACCCCCCCCTGCAAAATATACAATCAAGAAATCTTTTGTTTGTTTGTTTTTGTTCAGGTTCTTAAAGGTCTCAGAACACCGAATTCGCCAAATAGAACGTCCCTACGAGTTCCTGGCCCTGAAAGGGTCTTTTCAGGAATCCCCAGGAATACCCACCCAAACATCAAAAGTAGTTCCCCCCTCGCTCTGCGACCTGCAGATCGAGCCAGTAGTGTGCCTGTGTGCGGCATGATCGACTCAAGACTCAAGGACTCAATCCGTTCGAGGTTCGCGCCCTCCTAGCCTCTGGCCCCACGAACTTCCTGGATCTGCGTTCAGAAATACTCGAATGCCTTGCGTACGCGGGCGCGACAACCAGCGCAAAAGCGCTCCGAACGCAGCCACGTGCGTCGCCGCGAGGCGAAATAGTTTTCGAGAAAGAGTTAGCGCCCCAGTGCGAAGTCACGGCAGTCGAAATGGGCGAAGTTCTCATTCCCCAGCTTGGTCGCACGGCGGCGCCCGGAAGCACGCGCACCAGTTCCCGGGGACACGCTACCGTGACAGCAACGTCACGGGCATCAAGTAACGTTTTACAGTGTCGATAGCCACGCAGGGCAGTGGGCTGTCTCCTTGCGATCATGGTGTCCAGGTCAACGCGTAGTCGGTCCACGACCATCATTGTCACCATCGCACTGTCGTGGGTGAGCTCGTCAGTTCAAAGGTTTTCCTTTTTTTAGGTTTGGAAAGTGCTTTACACGTGTCGGACTGCCCTGCAGCTCGTCTCCTGCGCGTGCGGGACTCCGCTGCCGGGGCCGCTGCAGCTGCCACACCTGCAGGTGGTGCCGACGGTGAGCCCGCTGGCCGGCAAGCTGCTGGACAGCGAGGCGGCCGGCGACGAGGGGCAGTGTGCCAGGGACACGACGACCGTGGAGGCGGCGGCCAGCAACCGGACGCTCTGGGCCGTCAGGAGTAAGTTACGCCATTCATTCATTCATTCATTCATTCATTCATTCATTCATTCATTCATTCATTCATTCATTCATTCATTCATTCATTCATTCATTCATTCATTCATTCATTCATTCATTCATTCAGTGCTGGACGCCAGCGCGCACGTGCCATCGGGCGTGTTCCACGGCTCGCGCTACCAGCTGGGCAACTTCGAGGGCTGCATGTCCGCGGCGGAGACGTCCCCTGTCGGCGCGCGCTACTGCCTCGTCAGCCTCAGCTACAACAAGCACACGGCCCCGGCGCCGGCGACATCCGCGGCACCGGGACGCACCTCCGCCCGCCGCACGCCCTGGGAGCTCGTCGGGGACCTGTCCCCGCACCAGGACGCCGCCGAGATCATGAGCGTAAGCAATGCCGCCTGATTCGGCGGGGGTTTCTCCAGAAGCGCGATTGGCTGGCGCGACAGGGGCAATGACAACGCCCTTCTTGGCGGCGATCCTGAGGCCCGGTGGTCGTGTTGCTGCAGGGCGTCGGCATGGCTGACGGCGGCCTCCCCCTGGGCGACCTCCGCGCCGCGCTGTGCGTGCCCCGCGCGTGCCGCCCCGCCGTGCTGCAGGCCGCGCTGCGGGACAGCCTGCGGCACCGCGAGCCGCGCGTGCACGTCGAGGTCCTGCCCGAGCACTGCCACGCGCCGGGCGAGCGGGCGGCGCCGTCCGCGGCCGCCTTGGTGTTCTGGTAAGGCCGACAACGCCCTGCACTGGCAATCGGCAAGTTTCCTCATGCTACTCGAATTTTCCGCAGGGGACTCGTCGGAGCGCTGACTGTCGCCACCGCGGTTGCCCCATCCCTCGGTGCGTATGGGTCCGGAACGAAAAGCAAAGTAAACACGCTCGGGATGGGATTTGAACCCACGGCCTGCGGTTCCCAGGCTGGACCGCGTTCGACTGGCGGAGACACCTGCGCGCGCTGGGGAAGGCCGACCCCCCGGTGTCCGGCATGGACCTCGCGCCGGTGTCGGGCATGCGCTTCCTCACCGCCCTGTACCTGGTGACGGTGCACCGCGGACTGCACTCGGGGCGCGCCGCCATCTCCAACTACGAGTACTACACGGCCTCGGTGAGGAAGCCCAGCGCAGCCCCGGCGCGCGGCGCGCACGGCCGAAGTCTCATTTGGTTGCCGTGTTGTCGCAGGCTCGGTCGCGCCCCAGCCTGGCGCTGCTGTACCGCGGCTCCCTGGCCGTCGACACCTTCTTCTTCGTGGCGGGCCTCATGCTGGCCGTGGCGCCCGGGCGCGTCTCCCTCGGCACGGCCTTCGCCGCCAGGGCTACCAGGTAGGAGGCCGAACCGCGCCGCCCCAAAAACTAACCACCCTTTATGAAATGCTGGTTTGCTTTGGGTTCCACTCAGAGTGATGTCAATTTACGTCATCGTGCTGCTCTTCTTCGTGACCGCCCTGCCCGAGATGACCACGGGGCCGCTGTGGACGGAGGTGGCCCAGCCCATGTCCGACTCGTGCAAGAGCTACTGGTGGGCCAACCTGCTGCTCGTCGGCAACTACGTCAACGGCGGCACGCAGGACACCACCGGGGTACGCGGTTCGAGACCCATTTAGCGACTCAGGAGCTCAAAACGCGTCCAGGATTTTGGCCACGTCCACCGGTCTTCGGGGCCCCCGCCCCCGGTGGACGGTGGCCGTGACGTTGGCCGTGACCCCCACTTCTGTTGCAGTGCATGGGGCACTCCTGGTCGCTGTACGTGGACATGCACATGTTCGTGGTGGGCGTGCTGCTGCTGCGCTGGCTGCCTGCCGGTCTGTCCGGGCTGGCCGTCCTGGCGGGGCTGTCGGCACTCTCGCCACTGCCGCTGTTCCTGGGCACCTGGCTGGGGGACTGGCCCGCCACGGTGACGTGGTCGCTGCGGACGATCCAGGGCATGCACGGCGTGCAGCACATCCACGACGCCTACATGCCGACGCACATGCGGACGCCGCCGTACTTCGTGGGGCTGCTGGCGGGCCGCGGGCTGCTGGAGCTGAAGGCGCGCGGGTTCCGGCCGGGCCGTGGCGCCACACTGGTGTGCACGGCGCTGGGGCTGGCCGCCATGCTGGCCGTGATGTGCGGCAGCGCGCCCTTCGCCGCCCCCGACGCGGACTTCTCGGCCGCCAGCAAGGCGCTGTACGCCGCCGGGGCGCCCCTGGCCTGGTCCCTGGCGCTGGCCGTCGTGGTCGTCGTCACCGTCCTCGGCGAGCGAAGCAAGTCCCCATCCAGGACACCGCTCTCCTCTCAATCGGCGAGAAATAAACGTCCGTCGCTCTGCCCGCAGCGCTGGTGCACTCGCTGCTGAGCTGGCAGCCGCTGGTGACGCTCAGCCGCCTCACCTTCGCCGTGTACATCGTGTCCTACCCGATGCAGGCCCTGTTCATGGCCGCCAAGCAGGACTCCGTCTACCTCACGCCCTTCAACGTGGTGAGCACACTGTACGAGGGGGGATTTCATGTTTAAGTTCCACATTAAGGTGGCGCAAAACGCCTGGGGGGTAGGCAAAAGGTTTGGCAAGTGCAGTAGAAATATTGCACGTTCCAGAGCATTGTGCAGTCATTGTTTACAGTGTGGGTCATTCCCTCGCGTTGCAGATCCGTGACAGCCTCAGCGACTTGGTGCTGTCCTTCGCCATCAGCTTCTGGCTGACCATCGTGGCCGAGGCGCCCGCCCGCGAGCTGACCAACAAGTTCCTGTTCGGCAACAGGTGCGCCCGCAAGGCTGCTGAAAGTGTAGTGGCGGGCTGCCCCGTGACAGTGCTTTCCGCGACTGTACTCTCGATTTGTTTCTTTCAGGAACGCGACGCCCAAAGCCAAGAAGGCGGAGAGTGAGAAGGAGGATTGAGGTGTCAAACACACAACTCGACTTCGAATTTCTAAAATTATATTTTGTAATATATGTACACTTAATTAATTTATAAATTATATGAACATTTGACCTTATTATATACACTTACAAGCATGACTCGTCATTGTAATGTGCACTGCGGGGATCACAGATAAGTGGAGTCTTATTCTTGTGTCTAATTAAAGGATTCAGCACCCTAGAGGAAGAGCAGAAAACCAATGAAACTGCATCAGTTACTGGAAACACTATTGGATGCAAAGTGCTTGTTAGCACAAGTATACACTCGGGCACAAATGCAACCAAAATGATTTGTCACACGTTTCCAAAAGCTCTGCATTCTTTTTGCGTTTAATACTGGACGCATCTTCAGCTGTCTCAAATGCACGACTTGCCCCTACACTAATAATACAGTTCACAATCAAACAAAAATTAACACAGGGTGGGGGGGCCAAACATTAATTGCTAGTGATTATTATCACACAGTATGTCCTTGATTACCCCGTGTGTTACTGGTCTGACAAATCTGTACTTCGATTAACACTTCAATCCTTTCACAAATACATGCAACCAACTTTGACATGCTGAGATTCAAACTTTGAACTACGTCACTCAAGGGATCATCGACTCATCCGAGTTGACTAAGCTGCGTAAGCTGCGTCACTTTTCCGTTTCGTATCACATTTATTCCGATTCGCGGTCAGGACGGCGTTTTTAGACTGAACTACTGCCCCGTCCCTGCAGAGCCTCACACGAGGGACCAGCCTAGTTAGTTATTAGACTTGAGGATTTTTTTTGTCGCTGTCCGCCAGCCTCTACAAAACACAATAAAGCCATCCGTTGCGGCACCCGACCTAGCTACGCACTACTGCCCTCACACTGTAAGTACTCGGTAAGCGCCGTCCTCACTCTCACAGCGTCTTCAATTTAATAAAAAATAAAGGGGAAAAAATGAAAGAGATGATGAATCTGTTGACCAGAGATTGAGGACCGGAAACTGAGACACGCTTCTTAAAACTAGTAACAAAGTTCACGGGTCCATCATGACAACAACAACGTCAGTGGACACGCTTTTCGCTTCACAGCACAGTTTCCATAAATTATCACTCGCGCAAAGCCTCGGCACGGCAAGCACGCGCCTCTTCGCGGTCGCACTCCTATTGGTCGGGAAAACCGAGGAAAACCGGGGACAGGCTTTCCAGTGGCTGCGCTAGGACACTGTCCACGGCCAGACCGACGGGCCGCACTAGAAGTCGTCGAACAGCTTGCGCTCGGTGTCGCCGACCACGGGGGCGCTCTTCCAGTCCGCCTCGGGGTACTCGTCGAAGTTCCGGGTGTCGCCGTCGTAGCTCACCCGCGGCACGATGGGGGGCTGCAAGACAACCAATGATGTTAAAGAGAGGTAAAACAGATTAGACGAACCGAATAAAAGAGAATGCGTACCTTGAGCTTCCTGTGGAAGACGTCCACCCAGTCGATGCCTTTGAACCACCTGTGCCTCTTCACGTCTTCCGCTCCGTTCTGTCCGCGAAAACAAAAATTTGTCAATAAATCTGGGACACAGCTGTCGGGGCGTGCCGTGGGTGGGAGAGAGACAGGGACTCACCTTCATGTTGCCCAGCCGCTTGGTCCTGTCCTGGACGAGCAGCTTCTTGACGAGGTCCTTGGCCACGGGGTCCAGCTGCCGTGGCCACTCGATCTTGCCCGCGAGGATCTTCTCGTAGATGCCGAACGGGTTGTCGTCGAAGAAGGGCGGGTAGCCGGCCAGCATCTCGTACACTAACACTCCTGCGGAAGAGAAAGAGACAGTATTTGAACCAACACTCTTTTAGGCGCGCAGGCTGCTCGAGGGAGTTGTCGACTCACCGAGGGCCCACCAGTCCACCGCCTTGTTGTGCCCCTTGGACTGGATGATCTCCGGCGCCAGGTACTCCGGGGTGCCGCACAGCGTCCACGTCCTGGAAGGGCCGATGTTGCAGCATGAATGTTTTGGGCGCACAGTGGGCCAGAAGACCGGCGCCACCCCTGACAAACTGAGGGCCAGGTCAACTCGGGGGTAACTCGGGGGTAACTCATCGTGTTTTGGGTCGACTTTAAGCATCCACTGCTTCTGATCCGAGGCGGTAAATCGCCCTCCCTCAACGGGCAATTGGTCTTTGGACCTTCCTTTTGCATGCCTTTGTTACGGAGTGCGATTATCTGCCTTAGTTTGGGAGCAGTTTTGCCGCAAAGTTGATCAAAACGGTCACAAATGTGTGTAAAAGATCGTGTTTTGGGGCGACTTTAAGCATCCACTGCTTCTGATCCGAGGCGGTAAATCGTCCTCCCTCAACGGGCAATTGGTCTTTGGACCTTCCTTTGCATGCCTTTGTTACGGAGTGCGATTATCTGCCTTAGTTTGGGAGCAGTTTTGCCGCAAAGTTGATCAAAACGGTCACAAATGTCTGAAAAATCGTGTTTTGGGGCGACTTTAAGCATCCACTGTTTCTGATCCGAGGCGGTTCGTCTGAAGGGAAGGCAGCCCTTTCCTTACATTTTTGTTCGGAGCGAACCCTTATTGGACATTTTGCCCAAGTGATCAAACAGTTTTCGACTTGGCCTTTGTCAACGGGGAAAACTGTCCCCTGGCGATAATCGACTCCGCAAAGGCTGCAAAGAAGGTCAAAGCCATTGCCTTTGAGAGGCGATTACCGCTCGGTCAACCGTACTTAAATCCCCCAAAACACGATTTTACAGACATTTTACTGTTTAGCCAATTTGCGGCGAGTCTGTTCCCAAACTAGCGAAAATTGCACCCGTAAAAAGGGCATCAGGACCCAAAGACATTGCCCGTTGGGGGGATTACCGCCCGGTAGAACGGGTGCTAAAGTCACCCCCAAAGGGCCGAGTTACCCCGAGTTGTGGCCCCATTTTGCCAGGGGCAGGGGCCCCAAAACTCTCGGCACGTATTGACCTCCACAGTCGCTTAACGGGGCTCGAACCGAACGTGTGACCCCACCAATGGACTGCTCTCCGAACGAGGAGTCCATTGGTGGGGTCACACGCTCGGTTCGCAGAACAAGCACTAGAGTGACGCCTCGTACCTGTCGGCCAGCTTCTTGGCGAAGCCGAAGTCGGTGATCTTGAGGTGGCCGTCCCTGTCCAGCAGGAGGTTCTCCGGCTTGAGGTCGCGGTACACGACGTTCTGCTGGTGCAGGTACTCCAGCGCCAGGACGATCTCCGCCGTGTAGAAGTTACCTGCCACGCCGAAAAGAACATTTAACTCGATTTTGTCGAATTTCTTCTGTATTGTTCGAGAAAATCTATATGTCGGTGCAGCCTTTGGGTGCAAGACGAGTGCACTTACCAGTGCTGTTGCTGAACCTGCCCGCATTGCGGAGGTAACTGAAGAGCTCGCCGCCGCACACGTAGTCGAAGAGCATATAGAGGTAGGACTGGTCGTGCCAGTGCCACCGCCTGGGAAAAAAACAGTGATCAAAATCCGTAAACACCCGAGGAAAAACCTGGCGGACTCGGCGCCCGGTGGCAGGCAACCCAACGCGCTCGACCAGGCGTTCCGCGGCCGCGCGGCGCACAGTGGCGTGCGTTGGGTTGCCTGCCTCGCCGGCGTGGCGCTGCGCTGTACCGCCCTGTCAGCACACTGACAAAAACGCCGTCGGAAAGACAATGATCCACACTCACAGGTTGACGATGAAGGGGTGCCGGATCTCGGCCAGGATGTTCTTCTCGTTCTTGACGTGCTCCACCTGCTTCAGTCTGATGACGTCCCCGATGGCCAGGATCTTCATGGCGCCGTACTCGAGCGTGGACTTGTCCCTGCACAGGCACACCCTGCCGAAGGTCCCCGTGCCTGTGGACAACAAGGAGAGCGTTTCGTTAGACAGAGGCCCTCTGGACAATCTCACGCCAATCGGCGGAGTCGTTATGTCTTCCCCCGCGGACAGAGGACTCTGCTTTTTGGCGGCCCCGGCGACACTTTTAAGACAAATCGCCCCTTTCGGGCCCCTCTGCCGGCAGGAGGCCAGGCCGGCCGGGGCGGCAGGGACAGAGGTCGCCCCGGCTGGCTTGTATCGCGGACGCCGTGGACGCCGTGGACGCCGCGGAGGTAGATGGCGTATTTCGGGAAGTGGCGGGCGGCGTGGCGGCGCGGCGGCAGGGAGGACCCCGGGGAAAACCCCGCCGTGGTGGCGAGGCGCGGCGTCCGCGGCGTCCGCGGCACCCCTACAGTGTGGACACCGCTCGGCACGGCGCGGCGTGACACGGCCGCCGCTACTTTTCTTCAATCAACGGCGGCGCGGCCAGTCATTTATACACGGCACTTCCCGCCGAATTTAGAGGGCCGAGTGGTGTTGGCACACCGTGTAGGCAGCACCAGCAGGGGGCGGATGTGGCCCGGGCCACATCGAGGGGGAGGGGAGGGGGTGCAGGCCAGACGCAGACGGTACAGTTAAAATCGGAGCGAGGAGGGAGGGGTCATGGTTACACTTTCACTCTCGTAATAATTTCGGCGCCGCGTTGCTTCACGGCTGACAGGGCGGATGCGGCTGGGCCGCCTCGGCGTCGTCCTGGCTGGGCCGGCCCGGTCGGCGGAGCGTTAACCCCGGCATGTCCACCCCGCGCCCTGCGCAGCGCGGTGCAACATGCAACACTGCCTTTTTTCACGGGGCTGGCTTCTCGAGACACCACACTGCGAAGGGGCGGGGGGGGGGGGGGGGCTGTCTTCTTGCGCCTCGCGCGTCACGCCGCGGCCGCACTGCTTGTAAACTGTCTCATAAACCACGGCGGCGCGCGCGGTCGCGCGGTTTCGATGCTTTCGAGGTATCGAACCCGCGCGGCGGGCGGGGCGCGAACCGGGTTTCGCGGCCTGCTCGGGTTACACCGCGCGAGCTCCGCCACCGCCGCGACGCCACGGCGCCATGCCGTCTCGGCGGGGTGCGGCAGGTCGGGGGGGGGGGGGATCCACAACGCAGCGCGGCGGGCGGCTACTATTTCAGCGACGGCCACACACCGCAAGGCGTCCGCCCGGCACGGTCATTCCGAGAATATTTTTCGCCGCTCTGTCTCTCTCGCGCCTGCACGGGGTGCCCCGGTGCGAGAGAGACAGAGCGGCGAAAACGACTCACGCCCCAGGGCGGTGGTCACTGGTCGCCCAGTGCATCGCCCTCGCGGCCGCAAATTATCAAAGCCGGTCATCATTTTTCCTAGCGGCCAAACGGCGCGAAATTGTCTCTAAATTAGCCACGTTTATGGCTCGAAATTATTTACGATTTGGGTCAAGCGTGCGCAAACACGCATAAAGCCAACAAAACCCAAACAACAATTAACTGGGCCGAAATGATGAGGTCGGGCGAGGGGCCACCTGGGCCTGGGTCTGGGCCTGGCCGACCCACTGTGAGTAACGACGCTGGAAAACAGCTGCGTGCTACTTGGCCGCGCGCACGCCGCGCACGCCGGAGGGCGCGGGGTGGTTTCGTCGCTCCGTCTCTGTCGCACTCACGGGCCGGCCCGGAAGGGTGCGAGAGAGACAGCGCGACGCCCGGCAGGACAACACGCTCTTTACGACGTGATGCACGCCCGTGCCAAACCCAAAGGGGCTCCCTGCAGGTGGACTCTGTGCCTCTCGCTCCCTGCGGGGCGCCCTGTGAGTGCGAGAGAGACGGCGCGGCAGTGCGTCGTGCCCGTCGTGACGCGTTGGGGTCGCGTGGCCGGCCCGCCGCAGCTGTCGCCGCGTGTCCCCGTGGCCGCCGGCGTGGCGAGCGTTCCCTTTAAACTGCTTCAAAGAGCCCAGCAGGCCGCGCACACCGCCCCTGCACAATAATTTATAGTCGATCCCCGCTACGCTCGGACGAAGGGGGTCGCAAATGCGCGCTGCGTTCGCCGCCAGCCTTCTGTCACCTTGACAACACGTGCAAGTGTGTGTCTGCGTGTCTGTGTGAGTGCGGGCGCTGCTCGCTTAATTTCTCTACGCGACGCGCCGCCGTCTGGTCTCGGTTTTAAATGCTTGCACTTTCAGGAGGCAACGCGCCACCGGCAGAAGACAGTTGCGCCGCTTGCCCCCTCCTCCCCGACAATGCCGCCCCGACACACTGCTAACGACACGCACTGTGTTCACGCCCCCTCCACGTCCGTTCAAGGGCCAGCGACGTGCGCGGTAGCGGAAACCGCAGGTCAGCCGCCTGTTGGAGAACTTTTTCATCCCTGTCCCATCGTCACCCCAACTGATGGGGACTTTGGCACTGCAAGCGCTACAGTTTCCGTCAGGAAGTGAACCAAATTTTAAAAAAAATCGTGGCTGGCTCGCGTAATAATGATCAGTGGAGTGCTCCACAAAAACGGGCACGCGCCGGAAACGGTGAGGACCGGCGGATCTGGAGCCGCTCCGCTGCAGGCCATCAAAGGCCTTCCTCTCGCTATCGCATCGCCGCGGCGCCGCGGCCGAGGCCGCACTGCACTACCGACCGGCACGTCGAGAAGTAGGCCATCGCGGCGACATTACCATTTCAACACCACCTCCACTACTCCACTCGGCGCGACGCGACTCCCGAGCACGCCGTCATCCCCGGTCGGCCAAGATCATCGATTTAGTGCCCACATGCTCGACGCGCGGGTTGATTCGTCGCTCTGTCTCTCTCGCACTCACGGGCTGCTCCGTAGGGGTGCGAGAGAGACAGAGCGACGGCTCTGGGAATCGGTGTGGCAGCATGTGTTGGCGGCGTGTTTGGTTTGGGGTGGCGGTGACGACACGGACGGCACCTGCGGCGTGGGCAGCGCGGGCAGCGCGGCGATCAAAACACCGAGAAAAAGGGCCGCCGCCTCCGCACTCCGCGCGGATGATGAGTCGGACGGTGTTTTCCGCGCGCAGCGCGGCGCAGCGCGCAGGGCTTGGCGGTCGAGTGCATCTCGTTTCAAGGTTTGGCGCAACCGCGTTTGGCGCTGCGATGCCGCGCCACTGCGAACGGCGAAAACACCGTATTGGCACCGCGGCGTCGCCGGCGAGGTGCTTCACTTGGCACCGAGGAGTGGCGGCAGGAAGCACGTCGGCGTCGCACAGTGGGCCAGAAGACCGGTGGAGGTGGAAAAAACTCTGGACGCGTTTGGAGCTCCAGAGTCGCTAAAGAGGACTCGAATCTAGCGTGTGACCCCACCAATGGATTCCTCGGTCGCAGAGCAATCCATTGGTGGGGTCACACATTCGGTTCGAGTCTCATTTAGCGACTCTGGAGCTCAAAACGCGTCTAGAGTTCTGTCCGCCTCCACCGGTCTTCTGGCCCACTGTGCGTCACGCCGCGGCGCCGCGGCTCGCCGGAACGAAGGATCGTTCCTCTGTCTCCCTCGCACTCACGGGGCGGCCCGGCGGGGTGCGAGAGAGACAGAGCGACGCGGCGAGCCCCCGGAACCGTCCGGCGGTGGAGAGCGCCTGCGAGGTAGGCAGCGCCATGCACCCGTGTTCGACGGTGCGGCCCGCCCGGCCGTTCGCAGGGGCTCTGCCGCGCTCCTTTCCGACTTCTGTCTCTCTCGCACTCATGGAGCGCACCGCATAGGTGCGAGAGAGACAGAGCGACGGGTGACCGCGCAGAGTCGCGAGACGAAGAAGGAAGCCTCGGTCGGCTGGCCGCTGCGATGGCCCGTGCCCCCTCCCCCCCCCCCTTCCCGCGCTGCACCGCTGCTTCTCTGCTTTCATAACCACTACCGGCTGCCGGGCTGCCGGGGCTGCCCAGGGAAAATAGAGGTCTCTATGCAACGGCCTTAATCAAATCCACTTGGCCAGATATAGCACGGCACGGCACGGCACTGCAGAAGGCGGATTGGCCAAACGCGTCCCAGCCGTCCTGGCCGTCTAGACCGCTCGGGGCGGCCGAGCAAGCTGACGCCTGACGCCACAGTCTTGTACTTTTCCACACGTGTGTTTGAGGTGCAGGTATCATCTGCTGAACTAAAAAGTGCGGCCTCCAGCCTGAGCGGCCCATGGAGACTCTGATGGAGACGCGCGCAGCTTCGCAGCCTCGCACAGTGGGCCAGAAGGCCGGTGGAGGCGGACAAAACTCCAGACGCGTTTTGAGCTCCAGAGTCGCTAAATGGGGCTCGAACCGAACGTGTGACCCCACCAATGGATTCTTCGTTCGGAGAGCAATGCATTGGTGGGGTCACACGTTCGGTTCGAGTCCCATTTAGCGACTCTGGAGCTCAAAACGCGTCTAGAGCTTTGACCACCTCCACCGGTCTTCTGGCCCACTGTGCCTCGCAGCCTCGCCCGGCCCACCGCCTGGCCTGAACGTCGAGGGGCCTGCAGCCTGCGGGGCGTGGGCAGTGTGCTCCCAGGGCCGCGGCCCGCCTCCCTCGCACCCGCTGAAAAAAAGGGACTTATCCACACTGTTCGATTGGCTATCGAAAATCCGAGACCTAAGCTGGCTGCCACGACTGGGCACTGGTACGGTGACAACCAACCCCCCAGCGTAGTTGTCCGTCGCACAAGTGTCCGGCCGTGGCTAGGTATCGGGTTTTCGGTTGCAGCTATCGAAACAGAGTCGATTACCACAACACGGTCTTTTTTCCCCGAGTGACTGAGCACGGCAAGGACGGGCAGCACTGTGCCGGCACGGCCTCTCTTCCTTTCAACGGGACGGCCCTCCAGGGGACGGAGGGGGACCCTCAAAGTCCATTTTTATTATCATTTTCAGTGAAAATTCGTTTGTGAAAACAGCTCACCGACCACCCGGTACGAATTTTCAACGCGGGTGTGTGTGTGTTTTGGTGAGAGTGAGGATGTGTGTGTGTGCGTGAGTGAGTGTGTGAGTGTGAATCACGCCGGCTGCCCATATCCGTGTGTGCTGCTAACTGTCCAACCCATCA